TATGTATGTATGTAATGTATGTATGTATGTAATGTCATGTAATGTCATGTAATGTAATGTAATGTGTAATGTACTGTAATGTATGTATGTATGTATGTATGTATCCTTGCACTTCCCCTTTGCTCCCCAGTATTTCCCGCAAAAAAACACGGTTTTTCCAGCGTTTTCGCAAAGAGGACGTCCAAAAACATTGAGTTTTTCCAGATTTTCGGCAAAAGGATGCAGGAAGCCCAAGCCAGCAAAAAAGCCGGCAGGGGGAATCGAGCCTGGGACCCCTGTTTTGCGACACCGGCTCCCCGAAGACTACGTTTAGTGGAACGTCATCAAATTGCCGCGCGGTACGTGGCCCCCCCCCCCCCCCCAAAAACCTACGTAATAGACGTCGGGCGGGGGGGGGTTATCCTCTATCCTCTAGTAAGTATCCGACACGCCGAGCAATGTCGGCGGATAGGGTGGTGATTGAAGGGGGAAATATAGGAAACCACAGCTGGAGGAGACACATATTGGGATAAGCTTCATAGCACCACACATGAAACAAGAAACCTTCTTTACGGACCTCCAGTTTGCTGTATGTTTAGGAAAGACATGCATGAGATGCGTTTGTTTAATTTGGCAAATGTGTAAACCTCAGGTTCTTATTCGTCCCTCGGGTGGCATCAAAGAGGGTGTGCCTTGTTTGGGGAAGGGGGTCGGGGGAGTTGCATTCGTGTTGATGGCCATGTCGCTTTGTCGGGGTGTGTCTTTTTATGTGGGGAGGGAAGTTGCCGTGGGCGGGATGATGTTGAAGGGGGAACTATGGAGCCTCCAAATGGCAAGTTTGAACCATCCCCTGGCAAATCCCATTTGTTGTGAGCGTTGTCGAATGCCAAAATGCGAAAAGCAAAGTTCATCGCAGAGGGTCAATGGGACAGTGAAAAGTGGCTCATGGGAAAGTCAGTCAGAAGTCCTAGGGAAAACAATGACTGTATGCAAATGGATCAGGAATCAATGGCATCAGGAAACAACACAAGATCGAACCCTGGTTCATAGAGCTGACTATGTGATGGCAAGCCCACCTGGGGTCAAAACGAGCTGTTGGCCAACATCGACTAACGTCTCACAGTCCAACTCCTAAACATCTAGAATCCAAAAAGCCTAAAAGTCAAGGACACACGTCAAGTTGGACAACCGAAAGTGTAACAGTCGAAAAATCTAAACGTCTATCTGTTTCAAAGTCTAAAACATCTGATGACCTAAAAGCTCAGACGACTTAAACGTCTAAAAGCCTGAACAAAGAGAAACATGAAAGAGTCTAAAAGTCTAAGCTCTAAACCTCAAAACGTGTAAGCGTCCAAGAGTCTAACTGTCTCCAAGTCTAAACATTTACAAGGTTTCAGGTGAAGAGTTAAGCGGACATTCGCCCTCGCCGCCCGGCCCCTAACCCCCCCGCCCCCCTCCCGTGGATTCTTGGTACCTTTAAGACCCCTAGTCTGCGTGTCTATTGCAAAGAGTACCCTCGAAAACAAAGCACAAAGTGACACCCTCGAGTCAAACGCATACCTTCCTCAAGGGCACTTTCCGTATAGAGGTATCCTCAAAACTTCAAACATGCAAAACAACACACCCACACACGCCTAGGTGCATCCCGCGGTCCTTGGCCAAGATTTTTTCCAACGACCCGAAGGTCGCAGATCTCTTCGCGTACTGCCGCTGGCCCTTCTGCGCTTTCGTGGCGCCTTACGCAGCAGATCGCACTTGCTGAGGTCCTGGACTTTGAGCTTTTTGGGGAAGACCAGTTTAAGTAGGGCAAGCAGCCATTGTTTTGGGCAGGGGCCAGGTTTGAAAATGCGGCCAACTAACAACCCTAACAACCTGTTTTCACCCTGGGATCGGGTTCATTCTTGGGAAACGACCGAAGCGAGGCCAAAACAGCACCCACACGCCCGGGGGGGGGGGTCCGAATTTTTGTTCTGCGACAGCTCAAATGGCACCGGATGTGTTCTGTTTTGTGGCAGGGGGATGAATGCAACGCCCGAGGTGCTGATGAATATGTCGGCAGCTTGAGCTGCACAGTCTCGGGGGCCAAGGGACACTTCGGGGCCGTCGTGCGCAGCTCGTTTGTCAACTTTCTACCAAGACGATCAGAAGTTTGGTTTTTGGCTTCCTAGGGATTAGATTTGGAGTCCGGAAAACATCCGGGGCCCCCAGAGAAATGGCGGATTGCAGAGACCAGCGCAATTGTGAGGGGGTTTCGTTGTTTCCCACTTTCAATTTCCAGGGATGAACCGAACAAGAAATCGGAAGCGAGAGGACGCCACTGGCCTGGTGACTGAGGTCAACCTCGAGAGGATCCCAATGGTCGCTGGCTTATGGCCAAAAGCGAGAGGATCCAAGCCTCCCTCCGCCAATGCATTCCACCACAATGTCACAAGCTGGGGGGGCTCTATTCAAGCCCTTCTCGGGGGAGGGAGGGGGGGATAGGCAGGAACAGTCAAGGCGAATGGAAAGATTTGCCCAGTGCATTTTGGTAGTTGGGCTTCTTGGAATTGGGAGAAATCGAGTTAAGCAACATAGAAACAGATCATAGAAACAGGTCCCAGCTAAGGAGGGTCCCCAATGTTTGGCGCGCCACTCTTGAGTCGTTAGGGGGACCCAACGGGAGCGGTGCCCAGCTGTCTCAAACCGGAGGCAGCGGGGCGCGTGAACGCAGTGTTCTATGCCGGCCTCGCCGGGTCTTGGCTGGGTCAAGTGCCAGGCGCGAAGCTTCGAACGACAACGGGTCGTGTTGGTTTCTACTTGGGTATGTGACTATGTGTCAAAATACGGGGACAGTCAAGAGCACCCTCAAGAGACCACACACCCTTTTGACTTTGGCACCACCTTTGACCATGAACCTTGTTGAGAATGATTCTTTCCCTACCAAGCATCAAAAGACTACGCTGCGCTTTGTAATGCCCGTCCTCCCATGTTGCCATGGCAACTGACACGGGGTCCCTTCAAAACAAAACGATCTTCCAGGTGCTCTGCCACAGATGATCTGCCACGAATGTGGGAGGAAGGTTCCCAACATTTGCTTTCAAGTGACCAGGGGGATCAATCCCCTGTAAAGTGACAAAGTAGGAGTATGCTTCAGCTGCCTCACGTGCAGCTGGCAGCAGCACAGCGAACTGGCCATGTGCTTTAGATTTGAAGATCAGTTGGACGAACTCAGGTGGTTTCTACCAGTAGTGCCCTTTTACCATTTTTGGGGGAGGGTTCCCCTACTACAAGTAAGGTCCGGCAGAGCCGGGGGGCGGAAGTTTCAAAGCAGTGAACAACTATAGTTTGGAGAACTGTCCTTGGCCCCTTGCTTCTCTCTCTCTCTCTCTCTTTTTCTCTTTTTCTCTCTTTCTCTCTTTCTCTCTTTCTCTTTCTCTTTCTGTTTCTCTGTCTCTTTCTCTCTCTTTCTATCTATCTCTCTAGCTATCTCTATATCTGTTTATTGATCTATCTATCTACCCATCTTTCTCTGCACTTAAAAGTTGCGATGTTCAATCCCCGAAAGTTGACTTCGCGTACTACTTTCGTACTTAAAAGTTGCGATTTTCGAGCCCCAGCTGCGAAACTGGACTTCACGTACTACTTTCGTAGTTAAAAGTTGCGATTTTCGAGCCCCAGCTACGAAAGTGGACTTCGCGTACTACTTTCGTACTAAAAAGTCGCGATTTTCGAGCCCCAGCTGCGAAAGTGGACTTTGCGTACTACTTTCGTACTTAAAAGTTGCGATTTTCAAGCCCCGGCTGCGAAAGTGGACTTTGCGCACTACTTTCGTACTTAAAAGTTGCGATTTTCAAGCCCCAGCTGCGAAAGTTGACTTCGCGTACTACTTTCGTACTTAAAAGTTGCGATTTATCTATAGATCTACCTATCTATCTACCTCTCTATCTCCTATCTATCTATCTACCTCTCTATTTATTTATCTCTCTATCTCTTTATCTATCTAGCTAGTTATTTGTCTATCTATCTACAAATCTATCTATCTCTGTCTATCTCTGTTTCTCTATCTCTTTCTATCTATTTCTCTAGCTATCTCTATATCTGTTTATTGATCTATCTATCAGTCCATCTTTCTCTGCACTTAAAAGTTGCGATGTTCAATCCCCGAAAGTTGACTTCGCGTACTACTTTCGTACTTAAAAGTTACGATTTTCAAGCCCCGGCTGCGAAAGTGGACTTTGCGCACTACTTTCGTACTTAAAAGTTGCGATTTTCAAGCCCCAGCTGCGAAAGTTGACTTCGCGTACTACTTTCGTACTTAAAAGTTGCGATTTTCGAGCCCCGGCTGCGAAAGTTGACCTTGCAAAAATGCTGCGCCTGCCACCAAATCTGTGCTTGACCTTGCTAAAGTGCTGCGCCTGCCACAAAATCTGTACTTGACCTTGCGAAAGTGCTGCGCGTGCCACGAATTTTGCACTTGACCTTGCGAAAGTGCTGCACCTGCCACAATTTCTGTACTTGACCTTGCGAAAGTGATGCGCCTGCCACGAATTTTGTACTTGACCTTGCGAAAGTGCTGCGCCTGCCACGAATTTGGCACTTGACCTTGCGAAAGTGCTGCGCCTGCCACGAAATCGATACTTGACCTTGCGAAAGTGCTGCGCCTGCCACGAAATCTATACTTGACCTTGCGAAAGTGCTGCGCCTGCCACGCAATTCAAACCTTGCGAAACCTTCGCGCGGCCGTGCCAATGGGCCCGTCTCCGAGACCCGTTCCGAGACCGTTCCGAGACCGTTCCGAGACCGCCTCCGTACAGGCGTCGCAGCCGAGGTGGTTTGCGCACAGTCCGGAAGCCCAATTCACGCACAGCGCCAACGTTTTCTGCATCTTGCCATCCCCCAGCTCGCAGAGAGTGCTTGCGAAAGTGCTGCGCCTGCCACGAAATCTATACTTGAGAAAGCTATCTACGTGTTAAGCTGGCTATATGTCAAAGCTATCTATCTGTCATGCAAGCCTATTGGAAAGCTATCTATCTGTCAAGCTAGCTATATGTCAAAGCTATCTATCTGTCATGCAAGCCTATTGGAAAGCTATCTATCTGTCAAGCTAGCTATATGTCAAAGCTATCTATTTGTCATGCAAGCCTATTGGAAAGCTATCTATCTGTCAAGCTAGCTATATGTCAAAGCTATCTATTTGTCATGCAAGCCTATTGGAAAGCTATCTATCTGTCAAGCTAGCTATATGTCAAAGCTATCTATTTGTCATGCAAGCCTATTGGAAAGCTATCTATCTGTCAAGCTAGCTATATGTCAAAGCTATCTATCTGTCAAGCTAGCTATATGTCAAAGCTATCTATTTGTCATGCTAGCTACCTGTCATAGCTATATGTCAAAGCAGCTAGCTCATTTAGTTCCAGTACTACGGAAGTTTCTTGTTAAACTTCCTTTTAAACTTCCTTTGAAAATAGGCTACAGAAAAAATAGGGCACCCTTATTCTACCCTCTCTACTGGAGGACCCAGCAAAAACTTTGGGGAGGGTGCCCATGCCAGGCGTGATTCTGTGCACTACCTTCTGGCGCAAGGACATGGGCTTGCGCCATCCGACTTGGCATGTCTTCACAGTTTTCGGCGGCGGTGTTCGGCTAAACATGTGAGGCCTTGGAATGAATCCTCTTTTTTTCTTCAGCTGAGCCAAAGTTATGGTTTACAATTTACTCATGGGAGACCAGCCTTGTGGACATATACAGGAAACCGTTTTTCACTTTACATGTTTGCAGAAACGGCATGTGCCAGGACCTGTTCGGGCTGTACACCGGTGTAGCGGCCGGCTACGCCCTGCTGGTGGTGCTTTACGCAGGCCATGGAGCCGGGGAGGCGGTTCTGAAGTCCCAGCGGCCTCACAAGTTGGAATGTTAACCCCGGATTAATAAACCCCTGGTTGATTTTGATCGGGGGGTGTCCCCTCCCCTTTTAGTGGGGATTCAGACCACTTTTGGAGGGAACACCCCCTAATAGTGGGACGGGTTTATATTAATCCTGGCTCAACATGATTGGTGACCAGCAAAATGAGCACGGAGTTGGTTCTATGCTACAAGAAAACCACGAGACGGGACCATGTAATTTCCCCCCCCCCCAGCCAGTGGCCGTCTTGGTAACCCCAGATCAATACTCACCAAGCAGGTAGGGGAAGAAGGAAGGAGCATTGAACAAACTGGCAAAGTTGTGTGCAGTCAATCATCCTCGAGGGTTCCCATCGAAAAGCGCGCGAGCGGCGTGCTGAATTCTGCGGTCTTTGGGGTACCCAAGGATCTTTTGGAGTCTGTTCTGAGGGTTGATTCCCCTGTCTTTGCGCCCAGAAACCCATGCGCCCATGTTGGTGTTTGCCCATTCTTTGAAGAGAAACCTCCCTGAACACAACGAGGAGCAGCTAGAACTGATTAACAATATTTCGACTTGTCCGTTCAGCTCAGGGGAAGTTTCACTCAGAACGTATCTTTTCCCCCCTCATGATTTCAGATAAATCCGATGTGGAGGCCGTAGCAAATGTTTGTTCGCCGAGCGGAGGCATTGTCATTTGCCTGGACTGGGACAAGGCGGGCTACGGGGTTGCAGTCGAGACTGGGGTGCGTTCACCTGCACATGAGCGGCGAAGAAAACATCAGTAGATCAAATTAGATGAAACTGGAAATTACTCTTGCAGCCGTAAGCGTTTTTGCAAAATTCGTATGCGATCGGAATGAGTCACACGTCGTAAGCTTTTCGTTAGCTCTGTTTGTCAGACCCGTTTTTTGTTCAGATTGTTTGGTAGAAGTTGTTTTTGTTGAGAATGGGATCAGACTGCTGGCATGGCTTCTTTCGAGCAACAAGGAAAAACCCCTTTCAGTGAACAACTTTTTCAGGCTCAGACAACTGCTGTTTGACCGTTGGGTTGCTTGTACAAACCATTTGCATCTTTCCACTCACAGAGTGTTGGCCAGCTTGAGGAAAAACGCTCGCGTGTGGAAAACAACTTTTCGGGCCCCGAAAGTTTTTTTGGGGGACCTCATTTTTTAGTTGTCGCGGGAAGGAAAGCAACATGTTGTTGTTTTTTGTGACTTTACATGCTTACGTTTGGGCCTCGGGCTTTGAAAGTCTTGGCTGCGAGGCACCTGCTACCACCGGCAAGCAGTTTTCAGGGCCCCGGAGCCCAAAAAGCTCGTGGCTGGGGAAAAACTGAGCCTCGAAAAGTTTCCCACCAAACCCTTCACAACACGGTGTGGCTTCGCTTCTTCCCTGGGAACTGGCTGGCTCCCGTTTTTTCTTGCAGGTCAAAGCCTTTTGCCAAGTTTGTGTGTGTGGGAGTGCGGCCATTTTGTCGGAAGCATTTTGGAAGCCGTTTGTAAGATGTGCCAAACCCTTCCCTTGCTTTGTTTGATCCTGGCCCAATCGCGGTCAATTTGTCTCCACGAGTGTTGTTTTTGGTTTCCCTTCAAAAAGAATGAAGTGTGAGGTTGCATCACTCTGTGTCTGTTTTGGTGGTCCCTCATGTAACCAACCTGTGACAGATTTGGGAAACTTTTCGGGGCCGGAAAAGTTTTTTCCGGCCCACAATGATTCAAGCTCTTGCCTGCACGTTTTGAAAAGGTCTTGGGCAAGGGCCCCTGCTCTCACGTGCTTGCTAGAACTGGCAAGCGCCTGCGTGCGCCGCGGTGGCTAAGCATGGGGCAAACGGGTGGGTTTTTGGATTTCCCTTTCAACTGGGGGACCACCAAAAAGACACCGAGTGATGCAACCTCACTGTACGTCCTTCCTTCTTTTTGAAGGGAAGCCAAAAAAGAACACTTGTGGAGACAAATGGGCCGCGATTGGGCCTGTGTCCGACAAAGCAAGGGAAGGCTTTGGTTTCTTTCGGCTTCCAAAATGCTTCCGACAAAATGTCCGCACTCCCACACACACAAACTTGGCAAAAGGCTTTGACCTGCAAGAAAAAACGGGAGCCAGCCAGTTCCCAGGGAAGGAGCGAAGCCACACCGTGTTGTGAAGGGTGGGAAACTTTTCGGGGCTCGAAAAGTTTTTTCCCGACTTGCAATGATTCACTGGCGCTCTCCGCACCACAACTTGCCTCCGGCAAAGCACACACCGGCGCACCCCGTCAAAACGAGTTAAAGGGTACTTTTGACAGTCTTAGGCTCACATGCGTGGCCACCAACAAGACGTAGAATGATGCAACCTCGAAGCGTTTTGGTGAGAAACTTTTCGGGCCCCGAAAAGTTTCCTGGCCTTCCATGTCACTGCTGAGCCTGTGTAGCAAAGCCTTTGCGCCTTTCATCTTTCCATCTGCAAGCTGTTGCTGTGTCATACTGGCGCTTCGTGCTCGGGGAGGATCAGAACGAGGAACTTGCCGTAAGCTACCCGTAAGCTCTTCTAAAAATGGCCAGCGTAAGTGTGACCTTTGGGTTGGCGGAAGTTTTCCGCAGTCAGACAAAATTTTAGGGCGGTGGGCCACTGGACGGCCCGTTCCGCGAATCATGTTTAAAAAAGCGGCGTTCTATCCTCCTACAAAGGAGTTCTGCGAAGTTTGCCACTGGGCTCTGCGAAGTTTAGGCCGCAGTCATTTAGAAGACAACACAGGTTCTGCGAACCTTTCTTCGAAGTCTTTGCAGAACTTCCCAAACCCTTAGTTGAGTTTGGCATGAGACCAAGCGATTCTTGGACGAAGTTCTGCAGACCGGGTCCATCCAACGCACGACCCCCTTAATTTTTGTCTCAGCAAGCGATTGCGGAAGCTGGCGTAATTTCCTTTTACGGGTGACACGGGTTTTTTCAATGCTCACATGGGGCTTCTTGTTTGCGGCTTGGCTCCCTTTTTTTGAGTTGCTTTTTTGAAATATTTGAAGGAGAACCAAGACAATACGTTCGTGTTTATAGCCTTATAATTTGTAGACGCTACCGGCCTGATTCTCCGAGTGGTCAAAACAGTGTTGTGTTCACATCATCTACCCTCTATAGGAGACCCCACCCCGCCAACCAAGGGCCCCCAAACCCTGCAAAGTAGTACCCAGTGGTTGGGGAGTCCGATCTGTCCCAAACCAACGGGACTCATGAATTGTGGCGCCCTTTGTTCTCCCCCCTCCCATGTTTGAAGTGGGTTTAGGGTTGCAAATTTAGTTTCCGGCTTTGAGCGGTGCTACTAAATCGTGGTGTTTCCATGGTTAGCCCAACCCATCTCCAGTCGCATCGCCCATCTCCGGTCGCATTGATAGGTGGTGGAGGAGGCCCAGCGGCGATCAGAAGCGCCCAAGCCGGCCGTGGGCCAATCGCTGCAGCCAGTCAACGCCCGGAGCCCAAGTTGAGTGCTGGTCTCAACACCAAAAATGGTAAGATGGCCCTTTAAAGTCAACCCCAGAAGGGTACTTGAACAATTCGCGCTTCCACCCTTTTTTGTGGGTTCTGCTGACCCCAACCTTTTGACCAGGCTCACTGTCAACCCCGACACCTGGCCGGCGCCTATAAGCTAATCACGAGGGCAGCGCATGTCAGCCGAGCTGAAATCGCGAGGACAAGGGAATGAAGGACTTTCTGCTTTTTTTTTGAGGAGGCTAGAACTCTGTTGTGGCACGAGTTCTCGCTGCTGCTTGGCGAACTCAACCAACCTTTTTGCGGCTGCGTAGTTGCTGGCGAGCCGCGGAAGCTCAGCAATGATGATGCTTGCGTCATCACGGTTGAAATAGCAAGCGCAGGATTGAGGCTGCGCGCAAGGGCAAGCCGGCTGGGCAACGTCGTGAAACCACCCGAGCCTGGTTCCAGCAGCCGCATCATCGCGCCCTCCCGCGAGGGCTGGCAGTGGAGCTGGAATGGGAAGCAGCACGAGCCCAGCGACCGACACAGCTCGGCAGCTGGAGCCGAAGCGGCAGGGCAACCCGTGGTGTTCCAACCGGTAGGCGTTGCACGAACGAAGCACATGCAGGGGGAGCGGTCACGACACCAAAAATTCACAAGCAGTGGTGACATTGCGTCACAGGGCGGGAGGGCGGTGTTGGCAGTTTTGGTTGGGTTTTGGCTGCATTCTGCATCTTCAGCGCGGCGGCTCAATAAAGCCCCAAACAGGTCACCGTGTTTTCTTCAAAGGTTGTTTGTGTTGACGCTTCCATGGGAGTCCGAGCGGCTCGATGTCCAGGTTTCCCTGCCTTTGCGTCCTTGTCCTTCTTGAAAAAGGCGCCCAAAATTGGCCTCATGCTGGGTGAAATATCATCTTTTGGAAAGGCCAAATTGAACTACATATTCTGCAGATAGTTCACAGCTCACACACACTAGGTTTTGCAAAGATTGGATTCCCCTGATGTTTTTATTGAACCCTTGCAATTGAATTGTTATAGGATTCCCGTGCATAGATCGATCCTAGGATGATAATGAGAGAGAAGATAACACAAGTCCTGCATGAATACTATTGATTAAAAGGAATGATTAATTAATAATGAAACCTATTAAATTTTCTTTTATTCAATAATATGTATATATATATTAATATTGATTACGCTCTATATATATATAAATTGCACGAATACTTTGGCGTGACCGTATCGCGATTAGCCCGGCCCTTAGTGCGTCTCACGACCTGTGTTTGGAGAACGGCAGCATGCGTTTCGCATGCGACGAGTATACATTTTTTGACACATATGAGATGACAAATTATGTTGGTGCCTGAGTTGCAAAAAATGTCTTGCCGGCACGGGCTCTATAAGATTTGCTCTCTTCTTGGCACACCCACCACGGCCTGGACCTTGGCCCCTGAGAGCTCGGCCCTTTTTTGGCACCCGCCAATCTAACCCCTAATTGCTGGTTTGGATTAGTGGTTTGGAGATTGAACCCCTGGATCATGTTGAAGTTGAATGGAAACCACCCCCTAACCTCCAAAACACCGATCCAAATTACCAATCCAAACCGGGCCGGTAGTAACCCAGGGTGCCCAGTCCAAAGAGGGCCGCCGAACACCTGCAACCACTTCCTGGCCGCGGGCCAGAATACAGCAGTCGTGGAGGGCAAGGAGAGCGGTGGGGCAGCGCCGAGACAAGCGCGTGACAAACCGTTTCCCACTGGCTCGCTCCGCTGGGCGAGGGCGCCAGGGGACAAGCGGCCAGCGGCCGCGTGCAACTGGGGCACGAGCTCGCACGCGCGTTCTTGCAGCCCGTCTGCATCACGAAGCCTGTGGCACGTCGACATCAGAATTCGGCGCGCTGCGCGCTCGAGGTGTGTCTTTTTGTCTCTGTCTCTCTGTCGGTGTCTTTCTCTGTCTCTCTTTGTCTGTTGGTCTCTCTGTCTCTGGTATCTGTTTCTTTGTCTGTGTGTCTGTCTGCGTCTGTCTGTCTGTGTTTGTCTGTCTGTGTCTGTCTGTCCGTTCCTGTCTGTGTCTGTGTCTGTCTGTGTCTGTGTGTCTGTCTGTGTCTGTCTGTGTCTGTCTGTCTGTGTCTGTCTGTCTGTGTCTGTGTGTCTGTGTCTGTGTGTCTGTGTCTGTGTCTGTCTGTGTTTGTGTCTGTGTGTCTGTCTGTGTCTGTCTGTTTGTGTCTGTGTGTCTGTGTGTTTGTGTGTTTGTGTTTGTGTGTCTGTGTTTGTGTCTGTGTTAGTCTTTGTTTTCGTGTCTGTCTTTGTCTCTTTGTTTGTCTTTGTTTCTTGTTTTTGTCTTTTGTTTTTGTCTTTTGTTTTTGTCTTTATTTGTTTATTTGTTTGTTTGTTGATTTATCGATTTATTTATTTGGTTATAATTGATATTGTATAATTTAAAATTTTGATGAATTTATGAAATTTAGCACTAATTTGTTTATGTTGTTGAAAGATTTATTGAAAGAATTAAGATTGGAGGATATTGTGTTTGTGTGTAAAACAAAGGGTAAGGATTGAAATATTAGATTTTAAATTATATAGGTTGGATTATTTTAAATTTGAATTTAATGATAGAGGTTATTGATATGGTTGCGAATTAATATATAAGGATTGGAATAGGATTCGAATTTATGTATGCTTTAGATTTTTGTTTAGGAATATGTTTTAGATTTTGTTTGTGTATGTTTATGTTAGAATGTTGGTTTAGATGGTTGTTTTTTTATTGGGTGTGTAAGTGTGATACAAAGATATGATATGACTCGCCATTTAAGATTTTTTTAAGAACGATATTAGGATTTTGGAAATAAAGACATTTTTGAAGGATTTTTTGTGTTGGCTTGTACATCGGTGGATATCGGCTTATGTTGTTTAGCCTTGGGCATCGGCTGGTATGGGTGGCGGGCTTGATTATAATTTGTCGGTATCTTAATCTATCTTTTTATTCATTTATTTATCCATTTATTTATTTATTTTACACAAAATGAATATATATTTAAGGATTCTATATTTAGTTTCCTAGAAATCCGGAATAACCGATTTTACGTAATTGATTCGTTCTAAACGTCCATATCACCATGGAATATTCCACATCAGAACATTGATCCACACCCATATATATTATTAGGATATGAAATTCGAAAATCTTTTGCTTGTTATTGAAATTTGTTTTTTGGATATGAAATATGGGCATGTTTTGGTTTTATTTTAAAAGAATATAAATCATAAGATTTAGGTTAGTGACGAGATGGTGAAATTGGCCGATTTTAATTTAATATACGAAATTCGAAAATATAAATATATTTATTTGGCATTTGAGATATATTGTTGTTTTGTGTATTGTAATATATTAGGAAATATATTGAGATGATATTGAGAAGTTCTATCTATAACTCGTTTTTAGATATTTGGGTCTTTAGAATTTGGTCTTTAGTAATGTAATATATAGTCTTTCGAATGTGTGTTTGGGTAGGATCTAAATTAAAATCTTAAAATCCTAATTATTATTTTTTTCGAAATATTCCGAAATTATATTTTATTAAATATCTACCTATATTTATCTTTGTGAAACCATATTCATATTTATATATAATTCTTATATTGGAATATATTTTATTTTATATTTTAATTCCATTATTTATTTTTTTATGGATTTCATCTCGTATATTACTGGAAAATATTAATACAAATTATAAAATAGAAATACAATGAATTTTAATATTTGTATTATAAATACTAAATATTGGATATATTCTCCTATAAACCGGTACGACCTCGAGGTTTATAAATCGGTACGGCCTCGAGATGCATTTCCCACGCGCCGGCAAGCCTTTGTAGCGGTGCTCCGACCGAATCGTAGTTTGCGGTGATCCGATCTTTTCCCCGTGGCATAAGCTTCCGGAAGGCTCCGAAATTTTAGGGAATTCTTAATAATTTTGCTTAGAATTCCCATAACATAACCACGTCCACAAATTTCTTCAGGATTTCATGACTTTCCGAAAACATTACCGGACCAAATTTCTAGGATGTTTAGGGGTATCTCCGCATCTTTATCTCTTTGTATCTCCCAATCTATTTCTATGTATCCATATGTATTTATTTCGTAATCTCTATCTTTCTCTATCTGTTTTTTTTTTGCATCTCGATATATCCTACTCTGGTTTTTGTTAATGTTTATGCCTCTCTGTTCTATCCATCTATCTATATCTCTCTATCTTTCGGGTTAGCTCGATTCGTCTATATTTGTTTCTCTCTCTATTTTTCGTATAACCATATCTAATTATTTGAAACATGTTCATCTATTTCTATCTCTATCTTTCCATCTATTCTATTTATATTTAATTCTATAAATCGATTCATAAAAATAATATATTATATTTTTTCCCATTTTTTTCCTTTCTTCTTTTCTTCCTTATTTCCTTATTTCTTTATTTCCTTGCTAATCTAACCTAGTCAGGCCTAACCTAACCTAGTCTATTCTAGCCTAGCCTATTTTTAATCTAGCCTAGCCTAACTTAGCCTAACCTAACCTAATCTAGCCTAGCCTAACTTAACCCCCCCCCCTCTCTCTCTTTCTTTTTCTTTCTCTCTCTCTTTCTTTCTTTCTTTCTCTCTTTCTTTTTTTCTTTCTTTCGCTCTCTTTTCTCTCTCTCTTTCTTTCTCTCTCGCTCTCTCTTTTCCTCTCTTTTTCTCTCTTTTTCTCTCTCTCTCTTTCTCTCTCTTTTTCTTTTTCTCTTTTTCTCTTTTTCTCTTTTTCTCTTTTTCTCTTTTTCTCTTTTTTTCTTTTTCTCTTTTTCTCTTTTTCTCTTTTTCTCTTTTTCTCTTTTTCTCTTTTTCTCTTTTTCTCTTTCTCTCTCTTTTTTTTTCTCTCGCTCTCTCTTTCTTTCTCCCTCTCTCTTTTTCTCTCTCTTTCTCTTTTTTTTTCTCTCTTTCTATCTTTTTCTCCCTTTCTCTCTAAGACTTTCTCTTTCTTTTTCTCTTCTCCCTGGTGCCGCTTTATCGCCCATAAGATGAGGGATAGCTTGCTCTTTCATTTTGTAGTCTCTCTTTCTTTTTCATTTTTCTTTTTTGTTTGCATTTTTGTTTAATCTTTTTCTCTTTTTCGTTTCTCCTCTTTTTGTTTCTTTTGTATTCTCTTCTTTTTTCTTCTTCTTTGATTTTTTTATAAATAATATCATTAATAGATTTAATGTAATTTCTTTAATATATTATAACAAATATATAATATATATAATTCTAGAAATGAATATTTAAAATTATATTACAATAATATAGATTAATAAAATTTTAAAAACAAATAAATATATTAATATGAATATTAGATAATAATATTCTTATAATTTATGCTTATTAAAAATAAAATTAAAGGATAAATTAATATATATATATATACTTCTATATATTAATTAAACAATAATAATAATTTAAATAATAATAAAAAATTAAAAAAATATATATTTGCACAATTAAAATTATTATGGTATTCCAAATTTATTTATTTTTAAATGTTGTTTGAATATCTATGTGTTGAAAATAAAAAATGTTATGTAAGTAATAAATTCATTTTTTTTAAACAATAACCTAAATATATATATCTAATTATTTAAATATTTAAAACCATAATTAAAAACAAAAAATATTTTCATATCTTGCTTCATATATATCGCAAACCAATATAAATATCTTTCTATTTATATTTCCAAAGAACTACCTCATCACAATAACAATATAATAAATACACCCCTAATATTATATATATATATATATATATATATTCAAATCTATATATCCTAAAACCTATTATTCCTAAAATTTCAATTAAATAATTAATTCAATTTATATATATATTAAAATCATAATTATTCCTAAACAATTTTAATTAATATATTAAAAAACAAAAAATGAAAATCATATTTAAAATCATTCCGAAATTATTCAATGTATCATTCAATCTAAAAATCATAAATCTTTCCCACATAATTCGATCTCTCATACCAATTCCCCCCCACTCGGTTTAATTCCCCCCAAACTATCAATATAAAAAATAACAATAATTCCCATATAAAA